GCAGTCGGCCACCTGGTGGCCCTTCTTGCCGCACCGGAAACAGCGACCGCCTATGCTACCCGCATCGTTGTCGCCGTCTCCGCCGCCGCCACCAGCCTTNCTGCCACGTCCAGTGCTGTGGCGTCCGCAGACGCCCCCCCCACCGGCACTTCCACCACGAGCACCGCCTCCTCGGTCGGGCACTTACTCTTGACGTTCCCATAGCCCTTACATGTCTCACATCGCACGGGCTTGCTCTCGGTGCAGTCGGCCACCTGGTGGCCCTTCTTGCCGCACCGGAAACAGCGACCGCCTATGCTACCCGCATCGTTGTCGCCGTCTCCGCCGCCGCCACCAGCCTTCGCGCCACCCCCTCTCCCCTTCTGGATGCCGCCGCCGCCGCCGCCGCCACCCTTGCGGCGGCCGCCGTTGCCGCGGCCCGGCGCTCGCGAGGAGAGCTTGCTCCGCCCTCCGCTGGCCCTTCGAGGTCTTCCTCCCCTCCGGAAGGCTCGCGTGCACCGTGCTCACGATTCTGACGATCTCAGCCCTATCCAACGCCGTTGGTATCTCCAACAGGAACTTCGCTTGTTGGTACTCGGGTGGGAGGGAACCAACGAAGTGGGCGAGAACGAAGGGTTGTTCAGCGTTGAGCCCTTTTTCGCGTAGGCGTGAGTACAGCAGCTCGAGCGAGTATAGGTGCTTGATGGGGTTTCTGCTGCTGTGTGTGAGGATCGTGAAGTTGAACATTTGCTTCATGAGGGCTTGCTTCGAGCCGTGCGACTCCGGATCGTAGATTTTGTGGAGTTCCGCGAGGATCTCTTTTGCGGTCTCGCATTTGTTTACGATCGCCTTGCCGGCTTCTCTGACGATGGCAGTCGTCACAAATGGAACGCTTGGAGGCCCCTCTGGACCTCGTCGCTGGTGTATTGGAGGCGGTACAGCTCCGAGCTTGGCATGTTTGGGTTGCCGCAGGTGCATGTCTCTCGTTGTTGCCGATCAATTGGCCGTCCAGTCCTACAGTCTTGGCCGCTTGGATAAGCGACTTTCTCCACGAGTCATACC